GAAACGCTGGGCTGATCCTCTGCGTCATCACATTGTTGCTGCTGAGCTCCTGCTCGCTATCAGCCTACCTATCATACAAGGATTTTAGCAGCTCCTAATGAAGTTTGTTCAACTACTTATCACATCCATCCAACTCTCACAGCAGCCGAGAAAGTAATGAAGTCAATGACTCTCCATGACATTCCTGGCACAGGTCCAGCCCTAGCAATTACCTGTTAGGAGCCTCTGCCAAACTCCTGGGACATATGAGGCTGTTTACCAAATTAGAGATCATTTGCGGAATAAAGACAGGTACACAGTCTGCACTGCGGGGTTTCAGTAGTAAGCCGGAATAGAAATCATACCATTCCTCTGTGCTAGATGAGCCAGAGCAAGAATAGCCCATTTAGCTTGACAAGATACACAATATCCCAGTAAGATGACTTTCTAAAATTAAAAGTAAATTAATAGGAAATGGAAGGTATTTTGATTTCAGTCTATTGTTTACAGTGTTGAGTGTGCCCATATGTTCCCAGTTATACAGTGACGGTGATTACTAGTTTGTTTGTAAAAGATACAGAGAAGGGAAATATAACTAATGTCCAATTTACACTGGAAAGTGTTTTATACTCTGGTTACCCTTAAACACTTGCCATAAATATAGAGGTTACATCCGTATCTGCAATATTACCTCTAGGGAATAACTTGAATACTTCAAATACTGAGGTGAAGTTCTGAGTTATCAAAGGCAGCTGAGTAAGTTTTTAAGGGTGACCGCTGTATGAAAAACTCTACAGATTTTTCACATTGGATAAATCATCAGCTACCTTCTGCACATGCAGCCTAACAGTTTAGGGTGGGAAAAATCCTACGTCCAGTGTAAAGGGAGAATGATTCCACTCTCTAAGCAGGATTTTGCTGATGACTCCTGATCCTGCCAGTTGTGCAAGGAATAGTGCTACTGCACAAAGGAGGTCTGCATAAGTGATGAGTGCAGCACCCCTTCTAACAGGAGTCCCCAGTGGCCCCTGGTGTGGAGAGCTACACACGTTTGCCACGTGGTAGGGGTCAGATGAGGTGGTGATGGGTGGAGTTGGCATTTGGCACCACAATCTCTGCAGAGTGAGACAAGTGATTTAGAAGCATGGGGAAGATGCCCCCCCACTGCCAAATATCCCTACACCTGGAAGCTTAGGGGCCATCATGTAGCCAGGGACCTGGCAGCTGCACCACAAGCACAAAGCCCCTGAATACAGGAAGCCCTGCTGGAGAAGAGGCATGTCTGAAGGCTGGCCAGCCTATGGTGTCCCTACCACAGCCAGTCAGAGAGACACACCCCAGATGGAATCCCACTCTGCAGTGTTGCGGAGCCATCAGATCATCTGTGGCACCAACTTTCCATGGGGGGGCGGTTTCCTGCTGTATGGGTGAATCCCTGCACAAAGATGGGCTTTAGATTGCCACTCCATGGGGTGGTCGGCATCCTCCCACAGGACTCCATGCACTCTGCAGCACCCTGAGAACCATATACTGGCAGGATCAAGTCCACAGAGCAGCGAAGGGAAATGTAGTGACATGAGCACAGTTCTGGGAGTCAGGGACACTTGGGCTATGCCTTCTGTGGTCTTAGACAAATACTTAACCTCATTGCCTCAGTGTTTCCATCTGTAAAGTGGGGGTAATACTCCTTACTACTCTCTTGAGGGTGTTGGGAGGACGTGTTCATATGCTTTAGCAACTGCAATCTAAAAAAGACTGATTCTGTTCTCCAGAGAATGGCAACTGTGCAGGCACTACTTCTGGATTGGGGGTGAAGAGAGGAGTCTATTGAGTCCAATCATTTATTCAGATGGGAAAGCTGACAGCTCTCACCACCTGCTAGCTGGTGACAGGTACATTTTAAAAATAAAATTTTTGACATCTTTGCTTTCCTAACAAAGAGGTTATTTAAAACTTCAAGACACTCCCTTGGAAGGCTTTAAATAGTTAGAAGGCTTCAGAACCTGCCTGGCATTATCCTATATCCTAACATTAAAGGATTTTGTTTAAATGGTTACATGAGTAAACCCACATTTAACTGTTACATGGGGAAGAACGCCTTTGTCTTCCACAGAAGGCGTAGCCTAGTGGGCATGGGCTTGTCAGGCAGCAAAGCCTGGGCTCTACTCCTGGTTCTGCCTCTGACTCGCATGGTCACAGACAAGTCAAACCTCTTGATAAAATAAGTACAGAGGCTACCCACCTCACTGGGGAACTGTGAAGGTTAGTTACTTATTCAGTTAGAGTTTGTCTAAATGGAACATTGTTCCCCTTCCCACAACCTGCAAATGAAGTATTGTAGGTCACCTCTCCTAGCCAATCCTGCATCATTACATCACCTGAACACTGTAGCTGCGAAAGACCCTGGGGCATTTTGAGGTCTGAACTCTACCCCTCAAAAATCTTTGGCAGGCAGCAAAATGAGACCAGTGGGTGGAGGAGAAAGAACAGCAATTCAGCCACTTCAGATAAGGATGAAAATGGCTTTACTTCTGGATCTTTAGAAGCGTGTCAATCTCATCTGGTATTTTAAAGAAAGTAAACCAATAGACGACTCACAAACGAGCTTTTAGTAACACCACATGAAAAATTAGGTACCCACTGCAGCAAGAAATACAACATGCTATAGAGCTTAAGACTCCAGCAGCTTGAATCCATTGCTCAGAGTAGGACAAAATTACAGTAAAATCCTGATCATTAGGAGCCTAATCTTGGAATCCATGCTGTGCATGCAGAATGCCTATTGAAGTCAAAGGGAGCTCCTGGAATTACTATGAGTATTTAAATGCAGTATTTGTAATGTCTCATATAACAAGAGCTGCTTTAACAATTTTAGTGCATCTCTTCTGATTAGTGACCTCAAATATCAAAGGAGCAACTAATAAGGAGCACCCGGCATGGATAGCAGCATTGCGCAATTAAGAGAGAAGTGGGAGAAGGAAAATATTTTGGTCCATAGCAATCTGTAATTATAAAGAGGTTTATTTAAAACGGAAGGGAAAAATGAAAACAAGTTTTGTTTTATATGCAAACACTCATGGTTTTATTTCATTTACTTTCCCATAGAAAGATAACAATTATGCTCAAGTTTAGTTATGGTGCAGCTGAGAAAAAAAAGCACTTAATTGTAGTGAAAGCTTCAGTGGGATATGTGTGTTCCCCATCGTATGCGGCAGATACAATGACACAAAAGTGGAACGCTGCAGGTCCAGGGAAAAGATTGGATAAAGAAGGCTGAACGGCAGCCGCCTCCTATACCACTGGCTCTGGCCTCATTTTTATGAACGCCAAGTGCTTTTGCAGAATATATATGTGTGTGTGTGTGTATATGTATTTATTTTAAATCAACCAATCCTCTGTCCTCCCTTGCTATGATCAGGGCCAGTATGAATCTGTACCATTTGGCTAATCTATACCCACTCATTTGGTTACACAAACTGAAAGAGGGCGATGAATTTGAAATTTGGTGAATTACCATCTAAATTTCTAAATAAGGCTGCTAATGCTAATTTGGCTCTTCTAGTAAAGAAGAAAACAAACCATTGGTGATATTAAATTAAAATATCTGTATATCACTCAACCAGCGTAGCTAGCTGACAGTATGCCTGAACTATGGCCAGAAGAGATGGTAAAAAACTATTTGCATTTAATTACTGTATAAATATTAACGAATTGAGGCCAAAATATTGATCTATTGAACCTTAACATTTGTTATTTTCTAGCAAGTATTATCATCCAGGTCCTTAATATATTAATATTAAAGGCACCATTATATTTCATATTAGAAAATACTTAACTACCAACCCCTTTTCCTACCAAATCCCCCATCACAGCAGCCTGCTATGTCTGGAGATACATATGAGGATCTAACATGGCTCCCTACAGAGAAAGTAAAAACAACGAGGAGTCCTCGTGGCACCTTAGAGACCAACAAATATATTTGGGCATAAGCTTTTGCGGGCTAAAACCCACTTCATCAGATGCATGAAGTGGAACATACAGTAGGGAGGTATAAACACACAGCACATGAAAAGATGGAAGTTGCCTTACCAAGTGCTAACGAGCCAATTCAATTAAGGTGGAAGTGGGCTATTCTCAACAGGTGACAAAAAGGGGTTAATACGAAGGGAGGAAAAATCATTTTTGTAGTGCTAATGAAGCCAATGTAATCAAGGTGGCCCATTTCAAACCGTTGATACAGACTAACAAGGCTACCACTCTGAAACCTACAGAGAAAGTGAAATTCATCCTTTCTAATAACCAGCACAGGTCCACTTGAGAGTGGCAGTAGGGGCTCTTTCACCCTAGAGAGAAATTAGGGCTAAGAATTCTGATTTATGCTTTTCCTAAACTCCTACTCACCAGACTCTTCTGTAGGTCAAAGCAGCCCAAGTTCAGATAGGGCATGCTGCCTGCCTGCAGTTAGCTGAAGGAGAAACTCTCCTACACTAGTTTTTTCCTCCACTTCCATCACTGGAGTATTAAGAGAGATTACTGTAGGAAAAGAACCTAATCTTGTCTGAAGGAAGAGGATCCTGGTGGTGTGCCCTTGCAGAGGGGGAGTAAAGAGTAGCTGCCACTGGCCTCCTTTAGAAAATTGAAAGGCAACTACTTGGAGGGGGTTCATTCCAGAAGAGGATCTGTTGTAGCTTGGGGAAATCCTCATCAGTGGGCTCCCCAAATCTCATGGCACAAGTCATGGTGTCTGCCAAGTAAGGATGGAATCTAGTATGGTTCGTGGTGGAGTCCCAGAGACTGAAGGAAGGGAGAAGAGTTGAGAACAACCCAAGTTCCACCCCTCTCTTAGCTACAATCATGATTTGGAAGCTCAATATTTTTAATAGAGTCTAAAAATATCTAGCAAAAGAAAGGGATATATAAATGTGAAAAAAATCATCACTTCTCTCAAAAGCATATTCAGCTAACAATGTATTTAAGAGGCTTGTTTTACTGCTTGCAACTGATTAATAAATATTACTTACCAGGTCTATATTTTGCATTATGTCCTGGAAGGAAGGGTGAGTTCGAAACTGCTCAAACAGATCCCGCTTGTAAAGCAGTGCATACACCAAATTGGGGTTGTGATGGAGAGAATTTGTCAAGCAGGAATTGATAATCTCTAACATCATTCTGATCACTTCTTCAATCACATTCAGGTCTTGTGCCTTTAAGAAACAAACAAAAGGTTAGCATGCCCCTTCCACTATATATTAGGCAGAAATGATAGTTCTCAGGTATTATTACTAATGTAGCTGTTAGCTGGCTGATGTCTCATCAATAGTGAACAAGTCTTGCATCCTTGTTTGTCTGGTAACATAGTTATGCTTTCTCCTTTAACATCCAAACTTTTACCTTCGAGGTCAATGGACTCTAGTGTCCACTTTGCAGAATGCTCCCGCCCCAAAGAATTTTAACCACAGTAACTGCAGCCAGTTAAATTCACTGAAGTTGTGTGATTTTAGTCAATTTCCACTCCTAGCAGATGCTGCAGGTAAATGCAGCTCAGTATAGGTGCACTGCATTTTATTTCTGTTCAGCATTCATTGTGGAAAACAAAAAGGAGAAAAGAGTAAACAGAGAGCCAGAAAAAGTCAGCAAGAAGGAAATCAAAAGATGGCAGGGAAAAAGAGAAAGAAACAAAAAGTAGGAAGACAATCTGGATCAAAACACATTCCTCCTCCAAACTGTTCTGTTGCACATTATTTTGGCACTCTAGGTTACTGAAGTTGGATCACTGATGGTCCCCTACTTGTAGTGCACTAGGTCACCATACTTTAGATCAATTGCACTTCATGTATTTGACAACCAATCCAGACAATGACCACCCATAATCCAACCTTCCATTCTAAGCAAGATCACAGAGAAGCTAGCACAATTCCATCTCCAACCCCACCTGACAACATCCTGGATCCCTCTCACTGGGCCTTCACACCAGGATATGGCATACAGACAGTCTTTACATTGTAGAATAGTCCTCTCTTGGTTGTGGACAATGGGCAAACCTCCCTGCTCATATTGTTCAACCTCTCAGCAGCATTTGACACTGTTGATCAAGACACTTTAGAGACCTGATAAGGGAGAGCAAAATCACCCAAGATGGTTTCAGTCTTTCTTATTATCCTGAACACAAGATTGAGAATATTAGCTCATGAGCCTAGCATTGGTTTTGCCTTCTACATTTCAGAAAAAGCCATTAACTACCCAATAGCACTTCCCTATTTCATAACTGAACTCTACTGACAGTGTGGGGAGTGAAAATCATGCCAATGCATTTTAGTGGACTTTCAATCTGCAAATAGTAAAGTTTCTTTCCAGTATAAAGCAATACCACTTTTTAAAATCCCATCAGATTGCAGCGATTATCACATATAAGTTAACACTGCCTCCTTTGCCAAGGCTGAGGAGGATAAGAAAAGTTGCCACTATTCCACTTGGGGGAAGACAAGGATAGGAAAAGGAATTCATGACTTCCATCCATGGCTCTCCCTAGCCATTTTGGTGCCCTATGCAGCCCCCCCATGGGGGGGCTGTGTGGGGCCCCAGGCCTCCGGGGGGAAGGAGGGGCACAGGGCTGGCCCCAGGCCTCCGCGGGGAGTGGGCTGGGGGGAAGGGGGGAGAACCGCCCCCCAGCACTCGCCAGCGGCGCGGCTGGGAGCCAGAGGATTGGAGCAGGCTGGGGCCAGGTTGCTCCACTTACCATGAGGTGAGTACAGGCCCATTCCCTGCAGCAGTCCTCAGGAGAGTGGGGGCGGGGCTGGGGCAGAGCAGGGGCAGGGCTAGGGTGGGGGCCATGGGGAAGAGGCGGAGCAGGGGCTGGAGTAGCACACAGCTGCGCATGGCACCAGGAAATGTGGTGCCCCAAATTCCCTGGTGCCCTACGCAGCTGCGTACGTTGCGTATGGGTAAGGACGACCCTGCTTCCATCCTACTACAGCTACTTCCTATCGACAGTGGAGAGAAGTCAGTCTCCCTGCAGCTTCTCTATATTGGAAATGAAGATATGTCTCTCTCTTTTCCCCCACCTTCATCTCCTCCACAGCTTCAAGTTCCCTGTGCAACAATGTCCCCGCCCCCACTTTATTCTGCAGTGAAGTAAGCAATGTAGATCAGATAAGACTTTCATGTCCGTTTGTGTCTCATGTATACAAAGCAGGTCTAAATTATGAAGTCCTTATGAAATGCTTGTTGGAATAACATTGTACTGTGCACATGTTCAAATTCATTTTTAATCCTCAGCATGCCAACTGTTTTGACTTTTTTATTTTAATGCAAGAGGTTTCTTTTGAAGGGGGGTTATGGTCCTCGTTCCAGTCCTGAGGATATCCCATTTTTTTACTGCATCGGTGTCACCCATCTTGAAGGCCCTTTGTACGGTGGCAAATACTGGCAGAAACTCACCGCAGAGATGATCACTATGGCTGTTTAATCAGCCAAAGAGATCATAGTGTTGTATGATAGAAAGCAGTCCCGGCGTTCAGGACACGATGTGCTCCCTCTGTAATAGTCCCAATACCAGGCTTTGAGTAACTAAGTGCATTTTAGTGAAAACATGGAGTAATTACTTCAGCTGAGTTATAGTGAAAAATTCAGACCTGGCTAAGCAAGGTGCATCTCCCGTGACATCAGCTGAGTTGTGCCTGCTTAATTTGGTTTGAATTTGTCTCAACGTTTTTTGAATTATGGGAGGATAAATCGAATTATTACAATAGGATTTTCAAAAGCTCTCCTTGCTTGTTTAACTCCACTCCTACTGAAGTGGGGAGAAGAGGAAGGATAAGCCAGCAGTTAGGACACTAGCCTGGGACTTGGGATATAGGAGTTCAATTCCCTGTCCCACCACAGACCCCTGTTTGACCCTGGGCAAGTCACTTAACCTCTCTGTGCCCAAGTTCCCATCTGCAAAATGGGGATAACAGCACTTCCCTACCCCATCGTGGTGTTGTGAGGATAAATACAATAAAGACCATGAGGCACTCTGATACTACAGTAATAGAGGCCACATAAATTCCTAAAGCAAACAGTTTAAAGCTGATAGTAAGACTCCAATTGTCTAAGACTTTAAGAAGGTAAAAATCACGAAATGGCTATTGCATGGTAACATTAAATCACTACCAACCTGGACTGAATTAATTAGCAAAGAGGTGAAAAGCCTTGTATCCCATTACCAAAAAGATGAACTATCAAGCGTCCCAAAGCAGTCATTAAAAAATCTTTCGGGGCAAGGATTTGGTTTGCTAAGCTTTGAGTCACAAGCAAATTTTATGGCAGAGTTGTAACCCTCATGCCCCCTCCAAAACACTAGCACCCTTGGGTTCAGGATGGAAAGAAAGCAGATCTTACTATAGCAGATATATCCTGCTGCCTGAAACCCGACTTAGACACATACCTAATTCCCACAAGTAAATTTTTTTTAAACCAAAAATGCTCACCTAAAACATGGGAAGTAAAGCTAATTTAAACAGAAAAATATTAGTATCTACCAACATGATGTTTAATGAAAAACAAACCTGTTCATTGCCAAGCACACAGTCTGCATCGAACAGCTAAAAGAACATGAAATAACTCGTCAGTAATAAGGTCTCAGGTTACTTTAGAATTTAATGGATGGAACTTCCCCACACATTTTAATTCCAAGTATAATTAACAAATGGGGGAACAGTGTTCGATGTCATAGTTCAGATTTCTACCTGTAACTTTCTACATAGATATTATGTAGAATGAGCTATATAAATGAATGTTAAAGAAAAGAATGGTTGATAATCCTATTATTCCACACATACTATATGAAAATTTGCTGCTATAATTTCTGATTAAAGCATTCTGAATAGCTTTAAATCTTAAATTTCTACAAACAGGAAAAAAACCAAGTTGAAAGCCAAGGACAGCATTTGGATGGGAGAATGCAGACATGCTGTCAGAGCTGATAAAATATTGCGCTTTTGTTGCTTTGCATCACTAGTATCAAGCTAAGGCACCTCTGCATCTAGATGTGGCGTCAGAAAAGATATAAACGAGGTTATAAAAACATTTCATAGTTAAAGAAAAAAGTTTTTATCACCCTGTGTAATAACTTTCAGACCAGTTTCACCACAAGTGAAACACAGAACGTGTGTGTCTGAGATGACGGCTAGAAACAGCAAAATTTTAGGAGCTCTTTTCTTGAGTAGATTAGATGCTATCCATAAGAAAAAGAAAACAATTACGCAGATATTTTTGTGCCGACCAGTCTAGCTGTTGTGTGGTAATGGTGAATCCAAACAAGACACTAGTTTGGACTAGTGAGGTTTCCACAGTGTCTAAAGGGCTGAGTGCAGGTTCTGCATGTTCTTCATAATTCAGTTTGTTACCACATTTGCTGACTGTTAATTACTCATTAGGAAACCAGTATCAAAAACATCTCAGATGCATAGGGCTCAACTAGACCATTGCCAAATGTGCTTGGTGACATCTTGGATTTATGCAGGGCCTTTCACACAAAAAGATCAGAAAAGAGATTTGATTATTTTTAAATCTAGAAATCACTCAATCTGCCAGTGACATGGGATGTGAAACTCTCAGCGTGCACAGCATCACTTTGCAACTGCTTGTGACAGGAAATTGGTCACTGAAAGCAGGGTAAAAGTAGGAACAACAGTTGCCATTAGCATTTGCCAACAGAGCGGTAACCTTATGTACCACAAGTTTTCCCTTCTACTCAGGATAGAAATAACTTTGGTAACTTTGTTGGCAAATATTTACTTTTTAACTAGATCCCTGGCTAAGGCCAAACTGCCTGGGGCACAATTCAGCTGGTGCTGTGCAAAGGTGGCTGAAAGATCAACTTTGGAGTCCCCTTGATCCTGGTGCTGCTCTTTGCAGCCTGTTCCTCTTGTGTAGTGAAAGAAAAGAACAGGCAAACGAGATTCAGAAAGAGAAGAGAATGAAAACAGAGACAACTGACAGACACAGAAATGGGAGGATAACAAAATATATGAGCAAGCTAGATAATCATTGAGGAAAAAGATACAAATGAGGGTGCAAAGACTAGAAAACTGGTGGACAAACCTAGATGGTCCAGTCTCCATCCATCCTAAATCACCAATTTCCTTATTTCTTAACATAATCCATTTCATGAATAGCAGGACAACACTCCAGGCATTGCGTTTCAGAGGATTCAATGCAATCC